TGCCAGAGGACAGAGGGTGGCTGGGGCCATGGCTCCCCACAGTCACCTGTGCCGTGGTCCCGCCAGCATGGAGCGCCAGACACATCGACAAATCAACTGGGGTCTCCAGCAGCCCCATGGCTGATCCCCCTGCCCAGGGAAGCCTCCGGTGTGTGCAGGGAGCACCGGAGCGCAAGGCGGGAGGAGCAGCCTTGTCCCAAACTCAGCCTCTGGTCCCACCCAGCTGTGCCCTCTCTCCTGGGCACTTGTCACAGCCTCTGCGACAGCGTGTCCCCGGGGTGCACGGAGCCAAACGGCTGCTGGAGCTGGGCTCAGGCCCATTCCCCCGTTCCGCATTTGCCTTGTGGAGCCCCATCAGAAAGCACAGCTTTCAGGGTGAAACGTGTCCCTAAGGCTGCTGCTGTGACCCACCAGCTCCGAGGGCGCCTGTGTCCCCCACACCACGGGGTGACACCGTGCCATCCCGGGTCACCGCCAGCCTGGGAGGACCCTCACCCTTTTGCCGCTCTCCCCAGGCACTTTCCCTGTGGCCCCGGTGCCACCGGAGGACAGATCTGAGTGGGGCTGGCTGGGAATCACCCTTGCTGCGCCCGACCCCACTCTGGGAGCAGGCAGAGGGGACCTGGGAAGGGGGTTTTGTCCCTGTCTGGTCATATCCTGGGCTATTCTGCCACTGAACATGTGGGGATCTAACAGCCACCAGTGCCCCGAGCACTGGCCCCGCCATGGCACCCATGATGCGTTGGCAGATGCCATGGGAGGCTCCCAGCCCATCCAGCTCTTCCTGGGCTGCTCCCTGCAGTGGGGAGAGCCCGGCTGTGAAACGGCACCAGCACCAGTTTGTGCAGGCATGGGGGAGAGGTGGAAGGCTCGGGCTGAGATTTAGATGCTAGTGGTAAATCGCAACCTTTGACAGAAATGCCTGAGATTTACTACGAAAATCAATAGATGATTCAAACAATCCAGCCCTCGGAAAGGCAAATAACAGCACTCCAACAAGAGCCGTTATTGATATTCACGACCAGTGGTGCTCATTACAGGGCCTGCTAACAGGTTCGTAAGATGGATTGCTGCAGGATGGGATGGGGCTACATGTGTGCATCCACAGAGCAGGCGGTCCTCTGACAGGCTGGGATCCCACCCTGCCTGGCTGTGCCAGCGTGGAGACCAGCGGCTCATCCCCGTGGCTGAGCCCTGTGGGAGCTCTCTGGACCCCCCAGCTCCGCCGGCTGCTCACGAGGTGCTGAGCCGGACCCTCAGAGGTGCTGAGCTGGGAGCACAGTGATGCTGTGCCCGACTGTGCCCATCAGTGTCGGCTCCAGGCAGGATGCTGAGCTGGGAGAATTCCCGGTCCCTGAACGTGCCGGCAGACAGAGTGTGGCTGGTCGCAGGATCAGCTCAGCGAGGCGCTGTGCAGTGCGGGAGCGGTGCGGTGCAGTGCTCGCAGGAGGGGTAGCACCAGGACTCACCCAGCCAGGGTGAGGGGCACCTGCCTGCACGCTGCCGGACACCGCAGTGCTGCAGGGCTTGGCTGGGTTCAGGGACCAGCGGCTGGGCTGGTGATGAGGGAGGGGACCGGGGACCCTCCTGCAGGGACCCGTAGGGACCAGGGCTGACGTGCAGGTGTGGGGGAATCTGCTCCAGCCCTGCTTGGAGAAGGTGCAGCATCTCCCAGATGCTGGCCGGCACTGTGGCTGGGGGGGGCCGCGTGGACCCTGCCTGGTGCACGTCCACCTCAAGGCACGTCCCCAACGCCCGGCTGCAGCGGCTGCTCTGCTTCCGCCTGCCCACAGCTGGCTCCGGGTACCCTCGCTGCTGGGTCCCCCCCGCGGCTCCTGTGCCTGCTGCTGGGTGATAGTGGAACGGATGCAGACAGGGCTCTATTAGATGTCCATTTATTACCTCCATTTTCTTCCTATTAGAGCTTGCTGGACAGTAATCACTTCCAGTAAGGCCCCTCAAACTGGTCCGTGGTTGTGTTGCATCCCTGCACAACCCCCGTGCATTGCTCTGAAGCATCCCCCAGCCCCGTGCCAGAGGACAGAGGGTGGCTGGGGCCATGGCTCCCCACAGTCACCTGTGCCGTGGTCCCGCCAGCATGGAGCGCCAGACACATCGACAAATCAACTGGGGTCTCCAGCAGCCCCATGGCTGATCCCCCTGCCCAGGGAAGCCTCCGGTGTGTGCAGGGAGCACCGGAGCGCAAGGCGGGAGGAGCAGCCTTGTCCCAAACTCAGCCTCTGGTCCCACCCAGCTGTGCCCTCTCTCCTGGGCACTTGTCACAGCCTCTGCGACAGCGTGTCCCCGGGGTGCACGGAGCCAAACGGCTGCTGGAGCTGGGCTCAGGCCCATTCCCCCGTTCCGCATTTGCCTTGTGGAGCCCCATCAGAAAGCACAGCTTTCAGGGTGAAACGTGTCCCTAAGGCTGCTGCTGTGACCCACCAGCTCCGAGGGCGCCTGTGTCCCCCACACCACGGGGTGACACCGTGCCATCCCGGGTCACCGCCAGCCTGGGAGGACCCTCACCCTTTTGCCGCTCTCCCCAGGCACTTTCCCTGTGGCCCCGGTGCCACCGGAGGACAGATCTGAGTGGGGCTGGCTGGGAATCACCCTTGCTGCGCCCGACCCCACTCTGGGAGCAGGCAGAGGGGACCTGGGAAGGGGGTTTTGTCCCTGTCTGGTCATATCCTGGGCTATTCTGCCACTGAACATGTGGGGATCTAACAGCCACCAGTGCCCCGAGCACTGGCCCCGCCATGGCACCCATGATGCGTTGGCAGATGCCATGGGAGGCTCCCAGCCCATCCAGCTCTTCCTGGGCTGCTCCCTGCAGTGGGGAGAGCCCGGCTGTGAAACGGCACCAGCACCAGTTTGTGCAGGCATGGGGGAGAGGTGGAAGGCTCGGGCTGAGATTTAGATGCTAGTGGTAAATCGCAACCTTTGACAGAAATGCCTGAGATTTACTACGAAAATCAATAGATGATTCAAACAATCCAGCCCTCGGAAAGGCAAATAACAGCACTCCAACAAGAGCCGTTATTGATATTCACGACCAGTGGTGCTCATTACAGGGCCTGCTAACAGGTTCGTAAGATGGATTGCTGCAGGATGGGATGGGGCTACATGTGTGCATCCACAGAGCAGGCGGTCCTCTGACAGGCTGGGATCCCACACTGCCTGGCTGTGCCAGCGTGGAGACCAGCGGCTCATCCCCGTGGCTGAGCCCTGTGGGAGCTCTCTGGACCCCCCAGCTCCGCCGGCTGCTCACGAGGTGCTGAGCCGGACCCTCAGAGGTGCTGAGCTGGGAGCACAGTGATGCTGTGCCCGACTGTGCCCATCAGTGTCGGCTCCAGGCAGGATGCTGAGCTGGGAGAATTCCCGGTCCCTGAACGTGCCGGCAGACAGAGTGTGGCTGGTCGCAGGATCAGCTCAGCGAGGCGCTGTGCAGTGCGGGAGCGGTGCGGTGCAGTGCTCGCAGGAGGGGTAGCCCCAGGACTCACCCAGCCAGGGTGAGGGGCACCTGCCTGCACGCTGCCGGACACCGCAGTGCTGCAGGGCTTGGCTGGGTTCAGGGACCAGCGGCTGGGGCGGGGTTGTGGGGGGGGGCCACGGGAGCC